ATTAAATTGTCATTTCAGTGAATTATCTAAGCATATAAATAGGGTGAACTGTCAACTAAATCAATTCAAATGTGCTTTATCTTCCCCCTGCAATTGCTGAAGTCTTTTATTTGTATGGGAGCATTACTGTAATTAGAATTAATTAGTTGTGCAATTAGAAGTAATTGACAGAAGCAGGAAGAAGGGACTACACCCAGTAATCCTCTAAAATTCCTTCTCTAAACCCTTCTCCATAATGATGCTATGACACTCTCTGATATATTGCTTCTTGTAACAATAAATGTTCCATTTCATTTTTTGAAGCTATATAAAATTTCTTCCAATATAGGAGAGAAATGTTTCTCTTAACTATGAGCTTCTAAATTACTAGCAGTGGTAGTCTTAGCTTAAAATTATAGTGTTGCACTCGGTTACCTTCACAGGAAAAGAGTTTTAAAAATTGGATTAAGAAAATATATTCAATAAAGGATTAGTCTATTATTTCTAGAATAGTTAATGTTTTTAATTATAAGTATGCTTACAATAGAATATGTATACATATAACTTATAATACTCATTTAATCTTCTGGCTACAAATAATCACAGTAAAGCTTCCAAAAGCAAGAGAAAGAGAAATTTTTCATGATACAGTAACATTTAAAAGGAATGAAAATTTACACATTCCTTTCTTTTCAGTCTTTTTTTAGTTATGTATTTGGTCCAGGGTCTCACTACGCAGCTGGGACTCGCAGTATTCCTCCTGTCTCAACCTCTCAGCGCTGGGATCACAGGCACACACCACTATACCTGGTCTCAGTGGCCAGCTCTGTGCACTCAGCGTTCCAGGGATGGCAGGGCATGTGGTACTGGGAATCAAACCCGGCTCCTTGCACTACCAGGCAGGCGCTTAGACCCCTGAGCCATCTCCTCAGACCAACACATTCTTTTTAGCTCATAGTATAAAATAAAAATAATAGAATGTCCATCAGTAAAATGTATTTGTCTTCCAACAAACATTTATTTCATTGATTCATATCTCAGACACTTCTAAGGTTAAATATAGGGTAATGAATTTTAACTATAAATATAAAAAGAGCTATCTGAACAGAACATAAGCAGAAGAAAGCATACTCCAAGTTTTTGTACCAAAAGAAAGTGAGGAGTTTTGTTGAATCTTATACACTTCTTTTAAGTTTTTCTCCCCAAACTAAATTTTTTGAGGGGTCAAGAGAATTATGTCTAACAAAATTGTACTTCTTCGAGTATTTATGAAGCTGTTCAAATCATAATTTATCTTAGTGTATACATTATTTATATTACTCACAGCAAATAATATACATCCATCTGCAGATCTGATTATAATATCTGAAGAATTTCTTAACTAAGTTCCTTAGTAAGACCCAGCAATTGCACTTACTGTCATGTACATTAACAATGTTTAGGAATACTGTAAAAATCAACCACAGATCCATTTGTCTACGCTTACCAGGGAGTTTGTATACTATAGTGTAGATTCAAATGCCATGAGATTTTTGGTGTGCATCTTATGGAAATCTTCATTCCTTTTTTATAAGTATCAACTTTACCATGAAAATTACCTCTTTTTCTAATTAATCTATGTTCCCAGGTAAATCTCTTGGCTTTTGGAGTTATCATATACAAAGTTTTTCGTCATACTGCTGGACTGAAGCCAGAAGTTAGTTGCTATGAGAACATAAGGTAAATGTTTCTTGAAGTACCCGTTGACTTTAAAACTAAAACCTTTATATACAGTACAAAACCTTTTTGAAATTACTACTATTCAAATGATTAGTTCAGACTTTCTTCCACCATCTCTAAAATGTATTCTAGAAAATACCTGTCATATCTCTAATAAAACAGCACAGAGCCCCAAGTAACTAACACTGTCTTTCAAATTACTCCACTTTTGAAAGAGAAACCACGCTCATTTTAACACAAAATGAGGTCTTAGTTAGGATTGGCTCTTCTAAATCATAACTCTGAGTTTAGCAAATATTTCTCTCTTGTATTTCTCTGTCTGACTGTTGCTATGATTTTTGCTTTAACCTTCTCTCTTTAAAACTGATTTATTGAGACCTTCAAAATGGTTTGTTCTGGAAAAACTGAAGTATACTACAGGGAACGTGGCAAACAACACACCGTTTGGGTTGCTTGGAAACACTGCTGTAGTTGCAATACCTTGCACAAGATTTATGGTGCAGATTTAGCAAATGCTTGATCAATTGCTTTTTTTATTTCTCTACACCATTCATAGTTTCGTGTAGTATGCTGGTTTTAACAAAAATGAAATGACTCATTTTCTGAGGCACAACTGCTATGATGCTTTCTGCAGGAGAGAATGATCGGGCTACAATGAAGACAAGAGAGGAATCGGTAGTTGCGTCATTTCCAAGGCACTGTCTTCAGAGCAGGCTTGGATATTGTTTTACCGAAAATCACTAGCAAACAGTTGAAAATATGTACGAGTAGTTTTTCTTTAATTTTTAAGACATCAGTACAGACACAAATCGATCTTGAGGCAACTGCATTACGAAAACACATTTTTAGCTTTATATCCTTCACCTTTTTCTCTATGAAACTTTCCGGAAGCTCCTTGGATGTTTTGAGCATGAGCTGACCCAAGTCCACATGGCATACTTTTCAGGGTTTGTGAGGGAAAATACTTTCTATCAGATAGGTGTATGTCTTACCTTCAGGAATTACTACCATTTTGGATTAAAAAAATCAAAGCATACACACTGCAGTATACTGGATAAAAATATATTAAAATTAAGTAGTTTTTTAAATGCTACATTTGAGTAAAGGAAACTTCCTGTCAGGAATCCTGTCCTGCCACAGTGCAGTGACCTACCCAAAACACTGTCCCATCTAACTGAAAAACACCTTGTCAAACTTGGAAGGCGTCAATGGTTGTTGTAACAGATCGCTTATTGAGGTGAAAATCCGTAAGTTTCAGGGGCTTGGGGAGTCTCTGGAATGTGTGTGTCCTTCTAAACTAAAGCAGCCCAAATGCATGGCAGGTCCTGCGCGAGAGGAGCCCTTGCCCTCCTCTTCCTTCTGGGCACGACCTGGATCTTCGGGGTTCTCCATGTGGTGCACGCATCGGTGGTGACCGCCTACCTCTTCACAATCAGCAATGCCTTCCAGGGGATGTTCATTTTCTTGTTCCTGTGTGTTTTATCTAGAAAGGTAAGCAAGATCTCCTTTGATCACCCCTACAGTACAATCATGTAGCCTGTTTCCAAACTGATAGGAAACTTTTATTCTCCTAGATGTATGACTCACCTTCATTGCTTTAGTGTAGTGCATTTAACTACTTAATCAGACCATTTAGCTGTTCATTGGGAAGTTGGCTTTCTTAAAGGAACTTGTCATTAGCTACGTATATATAGCTTATATTCACCTAAGCATGTTCTGATAAATAATCAACAACCAACAATACTTTAAAGAAGCAAATGCAGCTATTTTGGGGATTTGAAAATAATACAACGTGATTGCTATGACTATATTTAACATTTCTTTTCTTTTTTCAAGATCCAAGAAGAGTATTACAGATTGTTCAAAAATGTCCCTTGCTGTTTTGGTTGCTTACGGTAAACATGGAGAACTGTGGATAATTACAGCTGGAAGGACTGGCATCCATGTTGTAGCTGAGCAGCATATAAAGATGTCTCAATGTTATGCTCCAGTTAATTCATTACTAGATAAACAAGTATTTTAAATTTGGGTTTTATCTGTTTCCAGTGTAAGAATTGTATATAATAAAGATAAACTTATGTACTATACAGCTATAGTATGTTTTACTATATGACAGTTATGTCAAAAGCAGTACTGTAGATATTTGAAAAGTAATTGGTTTCTCAAGAGTGATATCGCTGTGCCCAAGGAGAGATTTCTTTCTGCTACAAGAAATATATAAATTTCCTGCAGGAGACCACTGGCTTGATATTTTGTTTTCTTTGAAACTAGTCCCCTACCACCTTGGTAATGAGCTGTGTTACAGAAAGCAAAAAGTAAGCAAAGGAAGGGGCAGAATATAGAACAAGAAAAAATAAATGGCCAGTGTAAGAACAAGATGTGTTTTAAATGAATTTACTATTTTGTAAGTTAGATAAGAGATTTTGGTGGTAAAATAAAGAATTTGAATAAACACATCTGGGCATTTTGTGAACTTTTTTTAACTTAAATTTCTATGAAAACAGCTATTTGCTATATCTACATTTTCAGTATTCTAAAATATAACTCCACAAATGAAAACAAAATTATCAGTTTTTCAAATAGGTGAAGGTATATGGTGTTTTTATACTTATATCACTAATTGTGACTTCAGATGCACCATCAATAAAACATGAATATGTCAAAATATAGTGTCATTTGTTTGTAAATATAAAAGTATTATATATGAACCTGAATTATTTATTCTTTTTTTTTGGTATTTTAGGGAAGGGTCTGCAGTGTTTAGGGTCTCACTAATAGATTGGACTTGTAGTGATCTACCTGGTTACAGATTCCTGAATGCTGGGATTACAGGCACACACCACCATGCCCAGTCTCCATCACCATCTCAGGACACCCCAGGGTTGGGACCAGCATGGCAGGTCCTGAGATTGAACCCCCAGCCCCTGCACCTTCTTACAGGTGCTTTAATCTGCTGAGCTATTTGGCCGGCCCTCTGAATTATTTATTCTATAACATTTCACCATAGTGAAAACTATCCAATCAAATTAGACTGGTATTTGAATGCTTTTAGTTTTAGAAATATTATGCTTCATATCACAATAGCTTTTATTAGTTCACCATTTTAAGAGAATTCCATAAATATCAAAGTATTTATAAAGGGCATTGGTTTATTTTTTTCCTGTTCAGAGAAGTACACATTTAAAAATTTTATTTATGACAAAAAAATTACCAGGAACTGTAGAAATGTTCACAGTGGATCTATTTTCTGACAGTCTTCTTCATCTATTAAAGAGTACTTGCTTAAATGTACAGATTTTATCTCTTCTCAGATTTTCTCATTATGATGTAGAAATGGTGATTTTATTTAAAAAAAAATAGCTCTTCAGCAACTACCCATAAAACTGCGCCAATACACAGAATGGTGTGATCTTTAATTAATTTCTCCAGCTGTTAAAATGAAGTCTGTCAAATCTTATTCTAACAAATAAAACATTCTCTAGAGAAAGCACTCCCTCCACTGCTATGCTAAGTCCTTTTCTGAAGAATTAGGTCTTACCTACCCATCAGGATTTTTACATTTTAGTAGATGCATCACTGTAGGTTTTCATTATATTTGCTAAGTCCTTGCATGCTAACCCTCTGACCAGCTGTTCTCTTTTGCATTATGGGACAGTGTAATAGCAATGTGATATTAAAAGGTAATGTTTAGTCAGTGTGTGCAAGCTCTGTGCTCTAGGTAGAATAATGAGCTTCTAAAGCTATCCATGTCCTCATCTTCAGAATCTGGGAATAGCAGATTATACAGTCAAGAGAATAAAAATTGCAGAAGGCATTAAGGTTGTTGGTCAGCTGACCTTGAGATAGGGAGAGAGATGATCCTTGAGCTGCCATGTGGGACTGCTCTAATCACACCAGCCTGATGAACCACAGAGAAGATCAAGCGTCACGGGATGCAGCACGAGGGATTGCGCCACCCGTCTCTCCTCTAGCAGTGGGAAAAAGTCCCTAAACCACAGAATGCTGACAAACCTCTGGAAGCTGAGAAAGGCAAGCACATGGATTCTTTTCTAATCGCCAGAAGGAAGTCAGTTCTCAGATATTTTTATTTTATTCATTTGGAGTCTTAATTTTCAGAACAGTAGAGTAGAAGGTAGATAGACGATAAAAAGAGACACACACAGACAGACAAATGAATGGATAGATAATGGTTTTAAGACACTAAGTTTGTGGTGATTTCTTAGGGCAGCCACAAGAAACTAATACTGTGGAAATATTTATATGATGCCATCTTCAGAGACAACCAGCATTCATTTCATGAGGGAAAAATGTAAGTCCTCTGTCATCTCCCTTAGATGTCACTAGATAAGTCTTATATACTTTAGTTTCACATCTAAGACCTTCTCTTCTCTGTTTACCTCCTCAGTTTTTCCCTTTACTCTATCCAAATTTCTTCAGTCAAACCAAACTAAACTATATTTTTTTAATGTACTCCATACAGAATCTACAGGGTTTCACTACGTAGGCTGGACTCTTAGTGATCCTCCTGTTTTCAGCCTCCTAAGCACTGGAATTACATGCACATGTCACAGTGCCTAGTCTCCATTGCCATCTCAGTGTGCCCCAGGAGCAGAGTTGACACAGCTTGTGGTACAGGGATCGAACCCCGATCCCCGTGCTCTGCCTAAGCAGGCACTTTAGCTCACTGAGCTATTTGGCCAGCCCCAAACTAAACTATTTCCCTTTCTCCAAACTTACTGTAGTTTATCCATTTCTCTATTTTTATAGTTTGCTCTTTTTGACAACAACCATGACTCTGACAAGCATCCTTGTTCCCTAATATGCTTGCCTAAATCTCACAAGAATTAATCATTCTCAGCTTTGTGTCTCCCTCTCTCTGGAACCTCTCTGCCATTTATCACACAGCCTGCAATTAGCTCAAATTCAGGGCATGTTCTGTGCTTACTTTTGTTTGTCCTTGGGGGCAAGTACTTTGTCTCTTTTCCAACTTCTGAGTGGAAGACGTTTACCTTCTGAGCACAGACGTAATGTGATAACAGCTGCAGCCCTCTAACTAGTCCAGCTTTGGTCCTTGTGCTTCAGATCTTCCCCTGTGGTGTCCTCTGAGATGACGTAGAAGTGCCTTCTCATGCACATGACACAATTAGGTGGGAAGGGACAGCCTCAAGTTAATTTAGATGTAACTGAGGATTGAGTTCACCAACAAAGCCTTGAACTTATACTATGCTTTAATTCAGATTTTGCAGGAAAGATATACTTTAAGGATTTGAAAAAAGCTTGTCCAACTAATAAAGTAGTGTTTCATTTCCCATTTGGCTGCAAGTTACCATTTCATTTTTCACATAATAGTGAACGGAGTAAGTACGAAGATGTATTCTCAGTTTCTTCAGCCCTAAAATATACCACAAATTGACCAATAAATATTAAATTTCAAAGTCCTCTTTTACTCAAAAATGGAGAGAAGGGACTTACTAGATCTTGAGTGAATCAGAGAACCCAATACTGAAACTTAGACTCAGAAGATGAATGAATGCCAAATTTTCTGACTGACTGTAGAAATAATAATAATCTCTTAGCTAAAAACATCCATGGATCTAGGAATTATACTGTGTTTGGAAAAATTTTTACATGTAACTTACTAATTATAAAAAAGTATAAGAAAATCTATAGCCAAATGCTTCACAATCTGCATGTGAGTATAACCAACACATCTTGCAAATTAATTTGATGGAAACATCAGTTTTTCATCCTTTTTAATTCAATGCCTGCCATTCACAAGGAAGCAAAAGCTGCTTTCCTCAAATTTCTGCATATGCTGTGTAACTTCTTGTATCCACTTTGGATATCCTCACCAAAACCATTCTGTGTATCAGTATTTTTGTCTAATTTCTTGAACATGAAATCTTTGGGGAAAGCAAGCCTTACAAACCCAGTATGGTTACTCCAGAAAGAACATCTCAGATGGTCTGCTACTTGGAATGTCTTCTCACATGTAGACTGCACTTACTATTCAGGGTCCATCTCTATCAAGCATCCCTCATCAATGTGGTTCTTACTAATTGCCTCAATCACTATAACCATAGCACTTAAAGCTCACCTGGTTACCTGGGCACTAGGGTTCATTGTGAAGTCTTCATTTGGTGTATATGCTTTAAAACCTTAAGGTTAAGGGCTGGTCAAGTAGCTCAGCAGATTAAAGTGCCTGCAAGCAGATGCAGGGACAGGGGGTTCAATCCCCAGGTCTGCCTTGCTGGCCCCGCCCCCGGGGCACCCTGAGAGGGCAATTGAGACTGGGCGTGGTAGCACACACCTATAATCCCAGCTCTTGGTAGGCTGTAAACAGGTGGATCACTATGAGTCAGATCTAGTAGTGAGACCCTGAACACCCTGTAGACCCGTCCCAAAAAATAAAAAATAAAATCTTAAGGTTTAACTGACAAATATTAGAGAAATCACTTACTGATAGCATTTATAGAAAAGAAAGTTTCTTGAAAGTTGATTTCAATATCTATTGCTAGATTGTACTATTTTTTTTTTACTTTTCTCAATAACATAGCCAATGATCATCTTATTCTTCACTGTGAGAAGTGCCTAATGTCACAGCACTATCATTTGGATATAAAATGTGTTTAGTTTGGATCGTGAGGTTCAGCATATCCCAATGCAGAAGTTGTACAGGTAGAGATTTTGGAAAGTTATTGGATTATGAAGACTCTGATCTCATCCATAGATTGAGCCACTTATGTTTTTAGAACTTAACTGACTCCTTAAAGGTGGTGGAAACTTAGGATGTGAGAACTAGCCCAGCCAGAAGGGTGGCTGGAGGCATGCCATGGAACGAGCCCTCATTCCTTCCCTTGGTCTCGTTGCTTCCTGGTCATCATGTGGTGAGCAGATTTGAACCATGACCTACAGCCTTTCTGTCATGTTCTGTCACACCTCAGGCCCCCAAAAAATATGGTCAGGTGGCCATGCACTGAAACTCTGACCCCATGAGCCAAAATAAATCCTTCCTCCTTTCAAGTTGATTTATCTCAGACAGTTTGTCACAAACTCACAAACATGACACACACACAAGAAAATTTTATTAAGACTCAAACGGTCAGCAAACTCTGCTCCCCAGTGCAAGCTCTCAAAAACTTACTGAGGAGGATTTTCTGCCGAGTTCCGGGAGCCCCAGACCCAGTCCTAGCCCAGGTCCAGTGAGTGTGCGGAGAGCTTCCTGCTACCCTGCGCCGGCGGGAACAGTCCCAGCCCAGGCGCAGAGTGGGCGGGACCCTCTCCCAGCCCCTTGGGCCGCCCCCCACCACTCCGCAGTGCCTCCCCCACCCCGGCCGCCTAGTAGGATTTTCTGCCGAGTTCCGGGAGCCCCCAGACCCAGTCCTAGCCCAGGTCCGGTGAGTGTGC